CTTCTCAGCTTTCTAGAGAAAACCAAAGGCTCTGGTAACACACAATTATAAATCAAATGTTAATTTGATTGGTTTAATTAATTTTTCTAATCGTTTGTTTCCGGTTCGCTGATTTTAAAGTAAACAGTTGAAATTTGAATACTTTACAGTACACATCAGAGGCTCTCGCTAAATTGCTCTTTTTTTCAGAATGTTAATCACAAACAAAAAACTGTTCCATAAACAATGTACAAATAAGATTGATTGCTTTTTTTGAAGAGAAAAATAAAATGGTTTGAATTTATACTGGAAGGTCAGAATAAGTGGAGCATGCACATAGATATATCTGACAACCTAGAATTTGGGTCTTCTGGTTTGCATGTTAACAGAGCCTTTGATTTCTAGGTGAGAAGGGTCTGGGTACAAGAATGTGTGAAAATCAGCTGCATCTGGAATTATTTGTGTCAAAGGAAAGAAAAAGTATTTTTATTTTTCTAAATGGATTTATTTAGGTTTGTATTTCATTTACTTTCAGGAACTCCAAGATATGTTGCAGAATTCATTATCAAAAACTTTGATCTGGATAATTTTTTCTTCAAACTTCAACCTTCTGTGTTTAAAAAAAAGGTCAAGGACACATGGAAATTAGATAATATTGAGGTTACCAAGGTTGAATCTCTTTTGGATCGAGGAGGAAGGTTTCCAATCCCTCCAGCAAAAGAGGGGTAAGAACAAGAAGTCAATCTAGTTTATCTCAAGTTTCATTCCAGAACTCATGGTCAGCTGCTTATAGCATATGAAATGACATATTGACTGAAGGACTGACTTATACTGACAGACAGCGAAGAAAGGACAGACAAACTGACTAACTGACAGACAGTGATGAACAGACAGACAAACTGACTATCTGACAGGCAGCAATGAATGGACAGACAAACTGACTAACTGACAGACAGTTATGAACAGACAGACAAACTGACTATCTGACAGACAGCGATGAACAGACAGACAAACTGACTAACTGACAGACAGTGATGAACAGACAGACAAACTGACTATCTGACAGACAGCGATGAACAGACAGACAAACTGACTAACTGACAGACAGCGATGAGCAGACAAACTGACTTTACTGATGGACGAACTGGCTGATTGCTTGACTGATTAAATGGCTGTCTGACCATGATTATTTGAACTGATTGACAAACTGACCTACTGAAGGAATGCAAAATGAAGGAAAGAAGGATAGAGGGAAGTAAGGAAGGAGGGCAGTTAAAGGAATAAATATCAACTGACTGACATTTTTGATTGATTAGGCCAATAGTCCCCTTTACAGTTCCCTGCGCCATCTTGAAAGGTAGCTGTGCCTTTGCATCGAAGCAAGCGAGATGACTGGTGAGCTTGCAATGATAGAGACATGTAATAATTGTCCAAGGTGTTAAAAAAGGTCTCTATCATTGCAAGCTCACCTTTCAAGATGGCGCAGGGGACTGTGAAAGGGGACTATTATCATTGAGATATTGGAAAGCAATTATAAGAAGGGAATTAAAAGAAAGAGGATGAAAGAAAGAGAAATGCAATTAAGGGAATAGTATGAAGGAAGAAGGACGAACATTAAAGCTCACTGTGTTTTATCATTTTCTAGTGTATTTATCGCTGTCGGTGGGAATGAAGAGAAAATGTACAATCTTATAAAGGCTGATTATCTGGGTAATTGTTCAGGACTTAAACCTTCTGTTAAGCAAAAATTTAATCCTACGAATCCTACAGAATTATGGGACATTGATTGGTGTAAATTCCGTTTGGTGAGTCTGTCATACCTTTAATCTAGTTAGGCCCTTGCTAAACGAGGAAATATGTTTTCTTAAATGTTTCCTAAGGTGGCAAAACTGTCAGGGAACATCGGTAAACATGTTTACTCAATATCGGTTAGCGCATGCGCACTTTCAAGATAGAGCTAGCGTTGCTAAGTAACAAATTTGTAGAATGTTGACTTTCGTGGCTAAACAAGGAAACATTGGGAAACATTGTTTCCATGCGTCTTGGAAGCATGAAATGTTTCTGCCGCACAGCAGAAAACGTTTTGCGTCTTGGAAGCAAAATTTGTTGCACGTTGCAATGTTTCGCATGTGGCTAAACTTGGAATCATCGGGGAACATGCGCGCGGGAAACATGTTTCTGGAAACTTGTTTCCTCGTTTAGCCAGGGCCTTACGAGTAGTAGCCAGCTGGGAGAGTTCTTTTCACTTGTAATATAGGGTTGATTTTGGTAATGGAAACACATAACATTTATGAATGCCATAAGATTGCATTTGCACATAGAGTAGAGAGTAAATGAGAATGGATGAGAGAGAGAGAGAGAGAGAGAGAGAGAGCAAACCACCAAGCAACCCTTTCATTTATCATAATAACGTATTTACCCGACTCTCTTGTTGTGTTCCTCAGCTTGACACCCAAGCTCCTGTCCCGACTGGCAATGCCTCAGTCCCGCCACAATCCTCGTTTGATGATGCCATTATTCAGTCACCTTATTCTCCACCAGAGATGAAACCAGTGCCGAGAGATTATGGGGATCTTTATGTCGTGGTTCTTATTCTACCTGTTATCATAATTATCATCATCGTCATCATTCTTGCGATCATCATGTGCTGTTTCCGCCAGGGAAAGTAAGTTCAATATATCATCTTCTCTATATCTAAGTTGAGCTAGTTTTTAGTTTTTGTCTATCCTGGATAACCAGGGGTAGTAGAGAGGTAGAAACGAGCAACAGAATCTCACCCTTGGTTTCCCGAGGATGGCTTAGGCATGTCATACCAAGAGCTATGAAGGGGGTGCACGGGCTGTCAGGATGGGACTTTTCCCCCACCAAAAATCTGCAAAATCTAGCTTTTCCCACAGATAATGACAAACTTCACTAAGTAGGCTTGGGGCTTCAATTTACGCACATCGCAGGCCTGATTACTGCACTGCCTGCAGCCAAGCTATAGCTCCAGTACTTCATTCTCAGTCTCGTATCTTGGCTTCACTCTATTCCTTGTAGTTTTGAATTTGAATACCCTTAAAACAAAACAATAAAAAGGTATTTTTCTAACATGTTTGAAATCATTTAATTCACAGAGATAAACGTGATGCCGCAACTCCACGGTAAGTATTACACAAGCTAAGTGTTTAGAATCATTATTGCTAATTACATAGGTGAAAACCAGTTTTTAGGATTTAAAAGTTCTAAAGGAATACTTCTATATTTAATAATGCAGACCTCAGAAGGACTATCATGACTCTATTTTGCGCACGACATTCCAGTTGCGTCAGATGCAGCCAGAGCAAAGTGGACACGAAAATGGAGGCCAAACACCGAGGCATGAAAGCCCTACTCATACTTCTACCCCATATGGACGGTGAGTGATAAACAACTAGTAGCATAATATGTGTTTAAAATTGAAAAAAAAAGGCCAATTTTTTATCGCTTATCACCGCTGACCGCAAGTATATCAGTGGCGCAGCTCAACGGGATCGAACTCAAAAGCATTGAAGATGCCACTATGACCACGGAGCACCAGCTCTAACCAGTTAGAATTATTCAGGGTTGAATTGAAAGGCGGGAGGAAAAATAGGATAACGTGAATATGCGTGCGGAAACATAGGGGAATTATATTAGAAAAACGAAGGCGCGCGAAAGACTATTGTAAATTTACTTGATTTTCCCAATCAATTGTATTATTTCGAACGCGTCTTTCGCTTCAAATATGAAAACGTTCGGAGGAGTATTTTCCTTGAGTTTTGTTTTCATCTACACGTTTATTTAAATTGGTAGTATTCAAGTGAAGGTAATAAGGGGGTTTCCTATTGTTTGTTTTTCAGATCGAATACTTCGGATGACGACAGTCCACGCGGTGCCCCACCTCCTTACCGTATGCCACCACCACCAGCTGTCAACGTGATCTCAACAAACGGGACAAATCAGTTTTACCCTGCGAGTCGTTAGAAGGACTTTATATTTGTAAGTGTCCTTGGATTTTTATCGTTTTTTCCGCTCACGAAATGATTTTACGCCCTTGGATGGGTAGAAGAATGGAAGGGGGTGACGAGGAAAAAGGAATGGGAAGGGAAGGGAACAAAAGGATTAACATTTATAAATTCGTAAGAAACCCTTGATAATCTATTGGTTTAATTTTCGGGTAGTCTTAGGTTTTGATAAGGCTTATCCGAATTTACATAGCGAACAGCAAGAGCATCCGACCGTTCTTGACTTTAGGATTTGAAGGCAAAGACACATTCAAATTACACCTGACACCCTGAAGCAGCCTGGACTGAAATTTTTAACTTAGGATAGGGATATCTGACAGTGGAATCCCATAAGTGGAAAAACGTTTTTCTTTAAAATCAGAATTAACACGATAAATAAGTTAGAATTTTTTAAAAAGTTTAAGGTATTTATAACTTCTATTTGTAGTTTTTTTAAATAAGAAAAATTCGGTAGAGTTTTAATATGGTTAGGTAGTTTTAGTTTTAGCAAATGAAAAAGAGGGGTTCCCTCGTTAAAAGTGTATATCATGTATTCTTAGATGACTGTAGTTAAAATATTTAACATTTTAAAGTGAACTTTAGAACGTTTCTATTTGTTGTTTTGTTTAATAAAATGTACAAAAATCTAAAATGTGAGTCTTACTTTGTAGCTTTTGAAATACTGTAGGTTTGGCATGGATGAAAGGTCTTCACTAGAACTAGCTTTTTGATTGGCTGATTACATTAGAAATCTTGCGCTGTGATTGGCGGAAAGAATCTGAATTTGAAGTAATGTCCGTGTTTTACAAATTTCTACACAATTTACGTAAAATTTGCTCTTGAGGAATTCTGAAACAGACCCTATCTATCGTAGTTGCATGTTACGACTGTAGTACAATCTCGTACCCAGAGCCTGCGTTTCTTCTGGTCTGCAGCGAACAGCAAGGGCTTTGGCATAATCCATTTTTTTGAGACCAGGATTTATTGGACTTTCGGTATAAGAGCGCATACGTTAAAAGACTAGCCAAAAAAAAAAAAAAATGTTCCCGATTTCTAATCTTTATTTTGGTCGGAAGTAAACACAGAACTCTGTTTGAAAGCATGATTTTCACTGATTATATTTCACTTGGAAGTTTGCGCATGCGTCAAAAAATGGATTATGCCAGAGCCCTCGTTCTTCGCCGCAGGCCAGAAGAAACGCAGGCTCTGGGTACCTATTTACAAGGGTTAGATCTAAATCTATTTAACAGGTGCATTTAAAAAATTTTTTTTACATTCGTGGTTGGAATCCGCGTCCATTCCCCTGATACCCTCCTCCCCTCGCTATCATGCCACGCCCTCCCATGCCACCAGGTCCTCCACGCATGCCCCCACGGGATCCGCCCCTACCAGACATATTACCCCTTGAACCTCCACGGGATGATCCTCCCCTACCGGAGTTATCGCCCCCTTTGTTTTTAGCTACAGGGGATTTTGGTCGAAGAGACTCGATTTCTTGTGTCGATCCGACTAAATAGTCCTCCGGTCCGTTACTGAAGTAGGTTTTGTACGTCTCGCTGGAGAAGTTTGAACTGGAGAGGTTTGGACCCACTGTGAGCCAACCTGTAAAGATAATTTTACAGTACTTTACTACACTTTTGTTTCATCCACGTTTTTTACCCTGACGATGGGTTTGTAACCCGAAAGCTCGGAGCACGAATATAAAATTAAAAAAAACGTCGATGAAACAAAAGAGTAGTAAAGTCATGACTGTCACAAACAAAGAAACTATTAATTTTACAGTAATCTGTTAAATTAATACCATCTTTGTATCTACCATCTTTCCGCTGTCGGCCCCTAGCTTCCCCACGCATCCAAAAAACAGAATTTGTCAGATGAATTTGGTGACCGCAGCGAAATAGTAAACCCGTGAAAAAAAACGAAAAAAAAAAAAAAAAAAAAAAAAAAAAAAAAAAAA